CAATGTTTTATTATTACCAATTGAATAGAAAAAAATTAAACCTTTATTTATCACTCGAGGGGTTAATTTTAATATATCAGAAGGAAAGTGATGGGTAAAAAGAAGTTCACATGAATCAGTCCAACACGTTAAAAACTATACCAATAAAACACCAAGATGAAAACCTTTAAAGGTGGCACCAAATTAATGAAACTACATAGTTCTGAATAAAAAGTAAAAGTACATCCAATGATATAAAAGTGTAGGTGAGTAATAATGTGAACCTGTGGCTGATAGCAAAATATTTCATGAACCACTGGACAGATCTGAATAAAAACTTACACAGAAATATTTGGTGGATTCCCAGGACATCCTTGTAAAAGATTCATAATCTCAGTGGATGCCTTTCCTGGTAAAATAAAGGCTTGAAGAAAAATAAAAAATGTCCGTATACAACTTATCAACTTTTGGAATCATTTTGATTAAATACAGATAGCACAGCCAAAACACGTCAGAAACAAAAAATGTATATATTTCAAACAATTTCTTAAATATTGCTATAAAATCTGCTGTGTTTATAGCAGATTCTCAACTAAAATGTGACACAATAACTATATATATATATATATATATATATATATATGTGTGTGTGTGTGTGTGTGTGTGTGTTCTATTTCCTGTGTTCCTATTTTATTTCATTATTTAAACTTTAATATCTCAAATTGTGAGTTTAAAACTTTTATTTATAGTCCAACTGCCATTTTTTTGGCATTCAGAAAGAAAAAAAAAAAAACTTTACAAAAAAGTCCGGGGCTAATAAAGCCAAAAATGGCTCAGGAAGCTTTATTTTTTTAATCTTTTAACAAAGACATTATTTGACATTTAAGTAATTCAAGATACAGTTTAGAAAAAGAGCATTTAAAAAATGAGGAATTAAATATAAACCAGCATACAACAGATGTGTAATTAAATAAAATCTGAAAGTTACACATGTACACTAAAAGAAAAAGACCTAAATTAAAAAATACAAATAAAATAAAGGAATCTGACTGGGCGGCATGGTGGCTCATTTGGTACAGCTGTTGCTTCTCGATGAGGTTGCCAGTTCAAATCCTGGCCCAGGGCCTTTCTGGGTGGAGTTTGCATTTTCTCTCTGTGTTGTGTGGGTTTTCTCCGAGTACTCTGGTTTACTCCCACAGACTAAAAACTAGGGATGCACCGATCCACATTTTTTTTACTTCCGATTTGATCCCGATATCTAAATCTGGATGTTGGATGACACCGGTACTATTCTGATATCATCATCATTATTGATTTTATATGAGGCTGTAATAATCTCCTCTCAAGTACAATTTGTACAAATCTATGCATGCATGTCCAAAAAGGCAACTTGAGGTAAGTTTTATTAATGTTGGATACGTTTCAAAGTTAGAATTAAATCCCGTTAACACAAAACAAGTTTTCTGTTCCTAGCTTTAAAGTCAGAGTCAGTCAGAGAGTTTTATTGTCATGCACACCACATGTGGTGGAACTAGATTATGTACACAGGGTCCCAGTTACATCCAACAATAAAATGTAAAAGAAAAACAGCAACAAGATCTAAGATATGAACTAAGAAAAACATCAACCAAATATACACTAAGCATAAAAACAATACGCTAAAGTGGATATTAACGTGATTAAATGGCTTCAAACATCTGCTAAGTTCATGGCAAACACCAAAAAAAGACATGTTCCTGTTTTTAGTATTTTACATCGCTTTATAATGTAGATGTTTTTTTTCTTGTTTTTTTTTAATATAATTTTCTTTTATTTTTCATTTCATATGATTTTTTATGATTGTCTACTGTTGTACTGATAAATATCTCCTGGAGGGTGAATGTAAGTATTCAGTTGAGCTGTGAAGCAGGCAGTCTGATTTCAGTCAGCTGTGCTCAGTCTGATCCTCCGAGACGGGCAGACTGAGCGCAGCTGACCGAACTCAGACTGCCTGCTTCAGACTGAACGAGAGGAACACACCACTGAAGCCACGAAGCTCCAACCTCCACCTCCAACGTAAAACTAACTTTACCGCAGTGCCTGGGTAAACAATCCTCATGCTCTCTAATGTGGTGCTTCTTCAAATGTTTATTAAGTTTGTTGTATTGTAGGTCGCAACGGAGCTTCCTCTTGGTACAGCGGCTCTGCAGACATTGCACGTTGCTGTCTTGCGGTGTTTAGTGTAAAATACTTCCACACAGCGGCCATGTTACGATGAAAAGTGGGTTAGCCGTTAGCAACAGTGCTGCTCTCAGTCCACACGTATTTACTGCACGTTTTAGCTGGCTGCAAACTATGAACTGGATGTCCTGAATGTGAGACGGGTCTTATTACTCTGGGTTCATGAGACACACCTCCAGGAAATCCATTCCATAGTTTGAAGTCAACCTGCAGAGCAGCCAGCAGGGAATCACATGTGGAGACATTTCAGCAGACACAGACATACATCATGGTTCGGAAATCTCTGCAGGTTGGATCGAGAAAAATCTGATACGTAAATTATGCTGGTATCGGAACATGATACTGATACCGGATCGGCCCTATCCTTACAAAAACATGCATGTTAGACTGATTGGTAACTCTAAATTGTCTCTAGGTGTAAATGAGAGAGTGAATTATTGTCTCTGTGTCCCTGTGATGGACTGGAGACCTGTCCAGGGTGCCCCCCACCTCTCGCATCATGATTGCTGGACATGGGCACCACAACTCGGAAAGGAAGAAGCAGGTAAAGATAATGGATGGATGGACTCTGACTGGGATTTTGTTAAAGCAGGACGTGTACTTTACGACTGCATAATTTTTACCGGAAGAGGGGAGAAACAGGGTGGAACCAGTTTTTCATTATTAGGACCATTTTGTTGTGGACTTCATGGATTCAGCCATGTGATGCATCATGAGATTCAGGATGTTGGTGTTTGATTTTCTTTTTGTTGTTAAAAAAACTAGGCTTCATGTTTGACCGGAGCACCATAGTCTGATTTCCCCTCATTTCAGTACTGTCCCATAGCTGGAGGGAAGCTGCTGGAACAAAGGATGGGGGTGGAAAGTGTGTGTGTGTGTGTGTGTGTGTGTGTGTGTGTGTGTGTGTGTGTGTGTGTGTGTGTGTG